ACAGGAGGCAGGAAGCAGGACTGGACAGACAAAACGCCAAACAACAAATGACAACACATATCACATGACAGCAGACCGCACACACCTTCGCAGCCTTGCGCCCCCAGAGGGGGCCAGCGGATTTTTTCCGTGGATGAAATCCACGCGGCTGCGTGAGTCGAGGTTTGCCGACGCGCGCTTCTGTCTCCGGCGCGCGAATGCCAGGAAGCTGCGGTTTGCGATCGACAACTAACGCGGAATCGATGATTTTCGCCTCTTCAAGCCCTCTTGGGGGTCCTCCTGGGGCTTTTCTGTGGCACGTGAGGCCTTCTCGGGCCGTCTTGACAGCATCTAGGGCCGTCTTGGGGTCCTCGTGGGCAGGCTCGGGGCCCTCTTGGCCTGGCTTGGGGGCCTCTTGGGAGCTTGTTGGGCCGTCTAGGGCGCCTCTTGGGCCCCCCTTGGGCCCCTCCGAGGCTGTCTTGAGGCTTTCTTGGGCTCCTCTTGGGCCGTCTCGGGGCGATCCTGGAGGCCTCTCGGGCCGTCTTGGGGGTCCAGACGGTTGAGAGCGCGAGCATTTCATAATCCGTAGGAAACCAGATGAAAATCTACGATTTCGGCCTCTTGGGGCCCTCTAGGGCGTCCCCTCGGAGCCGTCCTGGGGCGTCTTGGTGGCTTATGGGGCCGTCCTGGGAACATCTTAGGCGGTTTGAGGGCGGTCTTGGGCCATCTCGGGGCTGTCTCTGGTCGCCTCGGGGCCTCCTTGGACCGTCTCGAAGCTTTTCTGGGGAGCTCCAGTGCCGTTTCGGGGCCCTCCGGGTGCCCCCCGGTGACGTGTCGGGCTCTTCGGGGGGCTTGGGGAGCCGGGGGCCCCTTCAACCCACCAGGCTCCTTTCGAATTTTTTTAAATGGACATATGCATATATCAATATCTATACTACTCCGCGTAAAATTGTACCGCGTAGATTGCTAGGACCACACTGTTTGGGGCCCGCGGTGGCTAACGTGTGCGCGTACACACATATATATATATATGTATATGCACACACGCCTATGTATATGTATGTATGTATGTATGTATATATATATATATGTATATATATATATATGTGTATGTCTGTATGTGTGTAATGTTTACATATATACATGTATATATATACATGTTTGTGTGCATATGGGAAACGATGTTTGTCGTTGTTGTTGTTTTTTCCCTGGGGCGGGGAGAGACATGGGAGCACCCGTTGCCCTCCTGCCCAGGTGCTGCTGGCGGCCACTCGCCGGCAAGAGCTCGGGCCAGAGCTGTGGCGGCGACGCTTCGCGCGCTACCTTGACGTAGAGCAGGTGGCCTCCGAGCAGGACCGGGCGTCGCTTCGGCGTGTCGCTTGGTTGAGTGCTTGTACTGGTGTAGACGCATTCGTTGCGAGCGCGTGTGCGTGCGTGTGTGTGTGTGTGTGTGTGTGCGTGTGTGTGTGTGTGTGTGTGCGTGTGCGTGTGAATGTGTGTGTGTGTGAATGTGTGTGTGTGTGTGTGTGTGTGCGCGTGCGTTCGTGCGTGTGTGTGTGTGTGTGTGTGTTCGTGGTGTGCGTGTGTGTGTGTGTGTGTGCGTGTGTGTGTGTGTGTGTGGTTGTGTGCGTGTGCGTGTGAATGTGTGTGTGTGTGTGTGTGGTGAAGTGTGTGTGTGTGCGCGTGCGTGCGTGCGCGTGTGTGTGTGTGTGTGTGTTGTGTGTGCTGTGCGTGCATGCTTGTGTGTGTGCGTGTGTGTGTGCTGCGTTTGTGTGTGTGTGTGTGTGTGTGCGTGCGTGCGTGCGTGTGTGTGTGTGTGTGTGTGTGCGCGTGCGCGTGCGTGCGTGCGTGCGTGCGTGCGTGCGTGCGTGCGTGCGTGCGTGCGTGTGTGTGTGTGTGTGTGCGCCTCCGCTTGCGAGAGCTTTGCCCTGCCCACCCGCTGCGCCGTCGCTGCTGCCCGTGCCCCGTGGTGCCGATGCCTGGTCGACCCTTCGGCAGCCCCCGCGGATAAAAAAGTGACGAGGTCGCCAAGACTGCGCCTGAGCGACGGCAACAATAGCCGAGGAGGAATCAGTTGCATAAACATAGTTTATCTGAGATTCGCGCTGATTTCTTGGATCGGTGCTCGACCCCCCTCTCCGGCGCGCGGCGCTGGAGGCGCCGCCAGGGAGCTCCAGCGCCGATCCGAGAAATCCTCGCGGACCTCCGGAAGCGGATGTTTACGTTGCTTCTTCTCCCCCGAAAAAGTGTGCAGGAAGGACATTCCGAGGGGAGTCCAGAAAAAAGACTTGTCTCCCGAAAGAGGAGGTGGAAGCCTACGCGGCCCTGGGAACGTTCCCGAGGGCCGACAGGCCCTGCAGCATCTTCAGGCTCCGCCTGGTCGGGCCCGCGCCGTTCCAGGAGGACCTCACGGAGCTCTTCCGCGGCCCGCGCGGCTGCGACCCCGGGGTGCTGCTGGTGCGGCTGGCGCTGCGGGAGGCAGTCGAGAGCCACAAATTGCAAGAGCATACCCACAACTGCATAAACATACAGTGGGGGCCCATGCCAAGAAACACCCTGCTTGCCTCCAGGGTGCCCTGGGGTTCTTGGGGTTCGATGGTTTTGTGATGAAAGGCGTGACGTTGCCACACCAAACTCCTATGGACACCCTGGGGTCTCAGGGTTGGGATTCTTGTGGAAGGGTTCTTGTGTGCTGGTCTCCACTGCAGCACAAAGAAAGATAAGCTTCGGGGACAACGCATCGAATTCATACAGAAACTTCCCGAGCTTCGCGCGGATTTTCGGATCAGCGCTGCAGCCCCCTGGCGCCGCCTCCGGCGACGCCCCTGGCGTGCTCCGCGCGCCAGGGAGGTGAGCCCGCCGCCGAGCCAAGAAATCTGCGCGGATCTCCGCAAGTATATGTTCCTCGAGGTAGACCTGGAGAGCATCGAGGTGGAGGAGGCCGAGGAGACAGCAGTGCTGGCGGCGCCACATGAAAGCAGTCATCGTCTTCATCCCCCCCCTCTGCTCTCCTGTGACTCCTCCTCCTCCTCCTCCGCCTCCTCTTCCTCCGCGTGGACATCCCGCCGCAGGCCAGCGCCTTCAGAGTGGTGTGCAGGTGGGCTGCGGTGCAAGGCCCTTCTCTCAGGTGATTCCCGTCGCGGCTCTGATCGACCCCCCACACATCGCCACATCGCCCATGACCGCGCCTCGACCAGAAGGAGGAGGAGGAGGAGGAGGAGGAGGGGGAGGGGGAGGAGGAGGGAGGAGGGAGGAGGAGGAGGAGGAGGAGGAGGAGGAGGAGGAGGAGGAGGAGGAGGAGGAGGAGGAGCTCGACTCGACCGGACACCTCTTCTGCACCTCCTCCTCTCCTCCTCTGTTCCACGTCATTTCGGCAGAGCCTGGGCGGCCGACGCTTCTTCCGTGGTTCGGCTCCCGGAGGCTGCCCAGAACGGGCCCCTGAAGCCTGGGGAACCGAACTGCATCCAGGACCCATAACCTCATCCTCCCCCTCCTTCTCCCCTCCTCTCACCTCCTCCTCTCACCTCCTCCTCCTCCGAACGATCCCTTGAGGTTGCAAGTCCAGGAAGGCCTCGGGGCATCCTCGCTCCTGGTCCTGCTCCTTCTAGGGGCATGTGGAGGAGCATAAGGGAACAGGAGGACGGTGAAGGAGGGAGCAGGATGGAGAGGAGGTGGAGGAAGGGATGGGGATGGGGCTGGGGATTGGGATGGAGTTGCGGATAATGATGTTGATGCTGATGCTGATGTTGATGATCATGGTGGTGGGCATGATGATGATGATGATGTTACTGATGATGATGACGATGACGATTATGATGCCAATGGCGATGAGGATGAAGATCAGGATGTTGATGGTGCTCGTGATGATGACGATACTGATGTCGAGGACGATGACGATGCTGATGATGATGACGATGATGCCGATGATGGTGACGATGCTGGCGATGAGCATGTTGACGATGACGATGGCGATTATGATGACGATGATGCTGGGGTGACGACGATGATGATGACGACAACGATGAGGATGGTGACGATGACGATGACGATGATGATGACTTTGATAGTGACGATGGGGGTTCGATGGTGATGATGATGATGATGATGATGATGATGATGATGATGATGATGATGACGATGCTGATGATGATGATGATGATGATGATGATGATACCGACGACGACGAGGGTGATGATGACGATGGTGATGATGATGATTCTGATAATGATGATGCTGCTGTTGCTGATGATGATGGTGATTACGACGACGACGCTGATGACGATGACGGTGACGATGGCGAGGACGACGACGCATATGTGGTTGATGCTGATGTGATGATGGTGCTCATGATGCTGATGCTGATGATGATGACGCTGGTGGTGATGATGATGCCGATGATGATGCTGATGCTGATGCTGGTGATGATGAAGAGGAGGGTGCTGTTGATGATGATACGGATGCTGATGTTGATGATGATGATGATGATGATGATGATGAGGAGGATGATGATCATGATGATGGTGATGATGGTGGCGATGATGAGGATCATGCTGACGAGGATGATGATGGTGATGCTGATGTTGCTGATTCTGCTGATGCTGCTGCTGTTGCTGATGATAAGGCTGCTGACGATGGTGTTGATGTTGGTGATAGTGATGGGGATGATGCGGCACGGTGGACTTGACTTAGCAGCGGCGATGCTGGTTTGCACCTGCTCTCGTTGCCTGAGCTGAGGTCGTACCGAAAGCTTGACTCGAGTTCGTCGGGGCCCCTTCTTATGTGTGCGAGAAATGAGCAGGAGTTAGAGGGGGATGATGGGAGGAAGAGGAAGCCGATGAGCCTGGATTTGATGAGCACGAGGACGATGAGGACGGGCGCGACTTACTGTACGAAGAGGGCCAACGATGAATACAAGTATACACAAACAAGCAGCTGGAGAAGGAACTTGACGTGTGCGAGAAGAATCAGACAGAGGAGGATGACGACGAGGACGAGGATGAGGATGAGGATGAGGATGGGAGGGGGGGGAAGAGGAGGAGGAGGAGGTGGTGGAGGAGGAGGAGGAGGAGGGGAAGAAGGGGGGAGGAGAACGAGGAGGAGGATGCGGAGGAGGAGGAGGAGGAGGAGGACGAGGAGGAGGAGGAGGAATAATACTAAGAATACTAATAAAAAACTATAATAATAATACTAATAATAATACTAATACTAATACTAATAATGATACTAATAATAATAATAATAATATTAATAATAATATTAATAATAAGTATAATAATAATACTAATAATAATAATGATAATAATAAGCATACTACTAAGAACAAGAAGAAGAAGAGGCGGAGGACGAGGACGAGGAGGGAGGAGGGAGGCGGGAGGAGGAGAGAGGAGGAAGGAGGAGGGAGGAGGGAGGAGGGAGGAGGGAGGGAGGAGGGAGGAGGAGGAGGGAGGAGGACGGGAGGGAGAGGAGGAGGGAGGAGGAGGAAGGAGGGGAGGAGGAGGAGGTAGGAGGAGGCGGAGGACGAGGAGGAGGAGGAGGAGGGAGGAGAGGAGGAGAGGAGGAGGGGGAGGAGGACAAGCTAGGTGCGCTCGCGTCATATCTGACATCCTACCCCTCCCTCCCATCCCTTAACCATGGCGCAGATCCCCTCTCTACTCGCACAGTCGGATGTCGAGCAGGGCAATGATCCCGAAAGGGTACGCGATACATTGTAGAGCACGGCATGGCATGGCGTAGAAGAGCACCGCAAAGCGTAGTATCAACCTAGCATTGCATTGCATGCCGTGGCATGGCACGGGAAATGACGCCAGCGCTGCAGCGGGAGCACGAGTCGAAACGAGCGGAAGCGCGGAAATGAGGCCAGCGCTGCAGCGGGAGCACGGTTCGGAACGAGCGGAAGCACGGAAATGAGGCCAGCGCTGCAGCGGGAGCACGATTCGGAACGAGCGGGGCCCGAAAATGAGGCCCGCGCCTCAGCGAGAGCAGCATTTTGAACAAAATGCAGGCGAAAACCCAACTCCCGGGAATCCTGTGTGTTAAAAAGCAGGACGCGGGGGGGGGGGGAGGGCGAACACTCCCAGCACGTCATCAGGGGAAGAGGGAGAGTAGTATTCATATTGAGTAATTGTGGTGGAGGAGGAGGAGGAGGAGGAGGAGGAGGAGGAGGAGGAGGAGGAGGAGGAGGAGGAGGAGGAGGAGTGAGGAGTGAGGAATACGTAATGCGACTATTCTCTGCTCTGTTCCAGACTACAGGCCTGTGTTCGAGAATCGTGCCGAGCGACAACGGAACACGTCCAAGCTGTCCCGCTCCTGGCGCGTGCCGCCCGCCAGCTTCCAGAAGGATACCTCCGTCGCGAAAACGGGGCACTTGAGCCGTAGCCCTCGACCCCATCGATCTGCAGCATCTCTAGATCCTAATCGATCCGGGGTCACAGGAGGGGGGTGAGAGGGAGAAGGGTGTGGAGGAGGCGGAGGCGGAGGAGGAGGAGGAAGAGGAGGAAATGAATGATGATGAGGATGAGGAGAAGAGGCAGAGAGAGGAATGAGGGCAGAGGAGGAATGAGGGCAGAGGAGGAGGCTGACGAGGAGAAGGAGGGAGGAGGAGAAGGAGGGGAGAGGGGGAGAAGGAGATGGGGGAGGAAAGGAGAAGGAGGAGGAGGAGGATGGGGGGAGGCGGAGGAGGAGGAGGGAGGAGGAGGAGGAAGAGGAGGAGGAGGATAACGAGGATGATGAGGATGATGATGATGATGATGATGATGAAGAGGAGGAGGGAGGCGAGGAGGAGGAGGAGGAGGAGAATGAAGAGGAGGAGGAGGAGCAGGTGGAGGAGGAGAGAGGAGAGACGAGAGAAAGAGGAGAGGAGGAGGAGACAGGAAAGAGGGAGAGAAAGAGAGAGAGAGAGAGGAGAGAGGAGAGGAGGAGGAGGAGGAGGAGGAGGAGGAGGAGAGGTTCAGGAGGAGGAGGAGGAGCAGGAGGAGGAGGAATGGGATGAGGAGGAGGAGGAAGGAGGAGGAGGCTGAGGAGGAGGGGCAGGAGGAGGAGGAGGAGCAGACGGAATGGGAGGAGGAGGAAAGGAGGAGAAGGAGGAAGAGGACGAGGAGGATGTGGAGGAGGTGGAGGAGAAGATGGAGGAGCTGCGGCCTGCGCCCCTTTGGACTGGGGCCCCGCGATGCCGTGCGGCTGGCGGCCTGGCCGCGCTCCCCGCTCTGGCCGCAGTGCTGACCGTGCGTCAGGCGGCAGGCCACCGTGCGCCAGCCGGCCTGCCTCTGGAGAGGATCGAGGACCGAGGAGGGAGGGAAGGGGAGAAGGAGGAGGAGGAGGTGGTGGGAGGAGGTGTGATGATGAGGAGGAGGAGGAGGAGAAGCAGAAGGAGGATGATGATGATGATGATGGGGAGGTGGGGGAGGAGGAGGACGAGGTGGGAGGAGGTGTGAGGAGGTGGGGGGAGGAGGAGGAGGAGGATGATGACGATGAGGAGGAGGAGGAGGAGGAAGAAGAGGAGGAGAAGGAGGAGGAGGAGGAAAA